ATGGGCACCTTTGGAATTGACTCATACATTATGTGTCTTACTGTAGCTCGTTCCCAGGTCTCTCCCGTTTGCGAGGAGTCACATAACGACGATAACTCTCCTACAACTGTCCCATCGCCCATGGACTAAAAGATGGAGATTGTCAATCAATGATAAATAATGTGCAATTGTTTGTTTTAGAGAATGACAGCTGTTCTCCTTCAAATCAGTCGTTTCTGTACTCGCTGTACAACATCAAGGGATATCAACCCGTGAAGCTGAACCTGAGAGGAAGATATAACAAATATGCTATTGTAAACGATGCTACTTATGGACCATGGTTTGGCTGTTCTGGTTCTGCTGACCTTAGAATCTCAAATAACGCATCGAGTAACGACTATTCCCGCTCATTTCTTGGCCATGCCTACCAAACCCCCCCTGGCTGTACAATCTCATGTTATCGTTATTTCTTTGGTAACTGGAGGTTCAGACCAAGTGATGTCGAAGTGTTCTATGAGAGTACGGCCTAACGACCTAAACAAATAGACACTATGATTATTTACCCGGCGTAGTAAATAGCAAGTCTACTTATATCAGCTTAGTATCAAATACCTGTAGAGTCGTTTTGATTTGTATGACTGGGAAACAATGATGATGAACTGCGTCTCTAATTTATAGTATCGTAAATCTCAATTTCAATTTTTTGAGTCAATTTTGACAGTCATTGTTACTAAAGTGATCAGTTTAAAGTTATTATTTATTATTATTCGCAATATTTTTAACTCTATATGCAGATGTTCTTAGTTCGTGTTTGCGTGGGGGGCTGTTTAGTTTTGTTGTCTAGTGATACCTATAAAATTCACACCAACATGATAAAAATGGAAACTCACTAGTGCTTTGATCGAATGAACCCGTATCGTAGATGTACCGTCATTATCTTGTTCACATGCCATGAATCAACTGTAGTTTTGTGATTGTATTGAAAATAAAACAATGATCCACCAGCTAATTAATTTTTGATCTTGCTGTAGACATTCGGTCAATAAAACCAGTAGGCAAGTCCAGAAAGTAGACTCAAGCCGCCTAAACAAATAAGAATACAAACTAACCTCTATCAAAGAAGACGAGGTCAACCTCTATTAAGTCTATTAAGCTGCCACCTGGCTATCAAAGTCCCGTGTAGGCKCTTGATAGAGTTTCAGHTGTAGTTTTGTTGTTGTTGTTTGTACATTTTGACTTGGTGTTGTTGCTGTTCTTTGTTTCACTTTGTTTATTTGCTCTTTTTGTTACTTTTTATTGTGCTGGTAAGAGTCTAGTAAAGTCAAGTCCTATAACTACGACTTCCATATATGGCATATGCATGACTCCCATGTACACATAGAAGGTTCTCATGTCAATATAGAAAGTTCACTTATTTGCCTGCATGTGGTTATTCATGTGAAGGACGTTGCATATAAATATCATATAAGATCATAGACTGCCATGGTCAAGATAAAGATGATAATACTACCGCGAGAACGTTTAAATCGTTTTGGTCAGTACAAAGTTAGTAGGTTAGAGGCGTGGTATATCGCAAGATCGTGGAAATGTTTGTGATTGGCTCAAAACCTTTAGAAACAAGTAAAAAACTAGTTTAACTAAGACACGTTTAACAGGTTTTTGAAGTAACATGTGCCTTTTTGAGCATAACGGAGTTTCGTTTGCGCATGCGTCAGTTGCTCGTTCATTGAAGTCAGGATGTATCAAGTTAATATTTATCGAGGTGGTTTCGGTATTTCCTTTTAAATTTTGCCCCAATATTTTGTACAAATACACGCCTTTGCTGCAAAATGGATTTTTCGTCGCTTATTACCTCCTCTGGACATGACTTGAGAATATATATATGGTTGATATTGAGTGCTTGAAAAGCTATTTGTTCTGACATACTAAGAATGTGATTGAGCAATATGGCGGTTTGTTGACTGGTATCCACTATAACGCCCTTGATATTTCAAAGAAGGAATCAGGTAAGCCTGTAATTTCTATAGTGAATAATCTATATGTGTTAAATTATCGTGCTATTAATGTCATCAAAGCCTTATATTGACAGTAATATTTTGTCGGAATCTTGGCGATTTTAGCGAAATTCGTTGTTAACCGATTGTAATAGTTAAATTATATCGAAATCTGTACACGACCGCCACACTTTTCTTTGTTGCAAAAGGAAGAGTTAACCTTTCTTACTAGGAATATTGTGCTCTATATGTTTAAAAAAATGGGGAACTTAGATTTTTGGATCAATTTATACACGATATACCGTTGACTTTGTCATAGCGCTCTATTTGTTTGCTACTAAATATTCCCTTATAATACTAAATAATGCACGAGGACCTATGTTCTCAACAGTTAATACCTCAAATATTATTTAACTCTCACAAATTTTGAGATCGTGTAAACGTCCTTCAAAATTTATCCAACTGAAAATATGTCCATTTATATTGGGTCCGACTATAACGCGGGCGGAGATGGTACACAAAAAGTTTGAGCAGAGACTGGAATCTAGAATAACAATGACTTCCGGTCTTGACATGTAACACGATAAACCCGTGAGTGCAGACTTGGTCAGTTTATTCTTTCTGGTACGTTTTTATTTGATTTTCTCAAGAACCTTCAGTAAAAAATAAAATCAAACAGTTTCATCTTGTATAAAACTCGAAAATTGTGAACGATCAGTGCCGTTCAAAATGCATTCTTTTTGTATACACTTTATGTAATTAGTGAGATGGTGGTGTTTTTACTGGGAGTTCAAAAGAATTTGAGGAATTTAACTTCCACAAATTTCACGCGTTACGAAATCAAATCCAAAGAGAAAG